TAAATGTAGAAGCCAGACTTTCTTCTGGAATTGAAGCAATCTTTCACCAATCTTAATTATTTCACTGGTGTTACAGTAATGTGATGAGCACCATTCAATGTGAAGTAGAATTCTTACAACCTCTGTGGCTATGTAACCACAGGCTACTCTCTAAAATCTGCTCAAGAACAAAGTGGAATTACTTCAGTGAACATTATCCATAGACATATTGAACAATCTATATATTGTTAGGTTCTCTTTTAGATTGAGAGTATAGAAAAAATAATAATGTAGGCAATACAGATGTCTATTTGAACAGTTTTGTTAATCGAGTTTTCTCTTCCGCTCTTCCTAGCATCCATCTTTGCCTGGACCAGAGGTCTAGCTCATAGAGCAAAATTAGATAATAACAAAGACCTCCAGAATTTTGCGTCAGCCATGGAGGATGTCTGTATAGAGACAATCGAAGCTGGTTTCATGACGAAAGACTTGTCTGCTTGCATTAAAGGGCTGCCTAAGTAAGTGATCCGTTTCAGAGACATACCAGAATAAAATGTTTTAAAATTTATTTAGCTATTTAATTAATGTATAGGGCATCCATCTCACATAAAGGACTCTGAGTGGCTAAAATGTCCTATCTGCTTCTGAGAAATGTTTTAATAAATAACAAACCTAGCAGACAACTTTGTTTCCCAAAAAGTAGAGAAGGAGACAAGGGGATCAGCCATATTGGACTTAATTCTCACTAACAGAGATGAAATGATAGGTGTTTACAGTATTTTATAGTATCCTTCCCCTGCCATGCCCACCAAGCCATGCCCACAGAACCGGTAGTAAAAAAAAATTTGAATCCCACCACTGATCTTCATCAATGACTTGGACAAAGGAGTAGATGTGGAACTCATCAAATGTGCAGATGACACCAGCTGGCAGGAATAACCAACACTCCAAAAGATACTCTTAAGATACAGAAGGATCTTGACAGATTTGAACATTGGGTGCTATAAAAAAATAAAATTCAATGGTGAAAAAAGTTAAGGTTCTACATTTAGGCAAGAAAAATCAAATGCACTGGTACAGTATATGTGGTTCAATAGTAGTAACTGTGAGAGGGATCCCGGAGTCCTAGCGGACAACCATTTAAATATGAGCCAGCAGAGTGTGCAGCAGCTGCCAAAAAAGCCAACACAGTTCTAGGCTGCATAAACAGAGAGATAGAATCAAGATCACATGAAGTGTTAATAACACTTTATAATGCCTTGGTAAAGCCACACTTGGAATACTGAATTCAGTTTTGGTTGCCAGGATGTAAAAAAGATGTTGAGACTCTAGAAAGAGTGCAGAGAAGAGCAACAAAGATGATTAGGGGCCTGGAGGCTAAAACATGTGAAGACGGTTGCAGGAACTGGGTATGTCTAGTCTAATGAAAAGAAGGACTAGGGGAGACAGGATAGCAATGTTCCAATATCTCAGAGGCTGCCACAAAGAAGAAGGAGTCAAGATATTCTCCAAAGCACCTAAGGGCAGGACAAGAATCAGTGGGTGGAAACTAATCAAGGAGAGAAGCAACTTAGAACTAAGGAGAAATTTCCTGACAGTTAGAACAATTGATCAGTGGAACTACTTGCCTCCAGAAGTTGTAAATGTTCCAACACTGGAAGTTTGTTGTCTGAAATGGTGTAGGGTTTCTTGCTTAGGCAGGGGGTTAGACTAGAAGACCTCCAAGGTCCCTTCCAAATCTGTTATTCTATTCTATTCTAAATATACTAATAATAAATAAAAATCATTTTAAAAATTGGGAGACAGAACTACATTATAAAATCTAATGATTGCAATGCCTTGTCAAGATCAGTTGCAGCCGATGTCTCTTCTATATTTTAATAGAGATTTAAGTCTTTAGGAGCTACTAGTGTAACTGTCTCATTTGAAAGATAACACACACACACACACACATATATATATATATATGTATCCATGTATGTCTGTTTCTAAGTAAGACAAATGATTTTGATCCATTTTGACTTTTCTTGCTACAGTTAAGTGATTTGCTGTTAGATTAGTTAACATGGCTGTTAAGTGAATCACTGCAGTTAAGTTAGCAACATTGTTGTTAAGTGAATCTGGCTTCCCCATTGACTTTGCTTGTCAGATCACAAAAGATAACCCCAGGACAAACATCATAAATATGGCTCAGTTGCCAAGCCTCTGAATTTTGATCACATGACAATGGAGATGTTGCAACTGTTGTGTGAAAAATGGTCATACATCACTTTTGTCAGGACCATTGTAACTTCAGTCACTAAACAAATTGTTGTAAGTCAAGGTCTATCTGTATAAAAAAAGATACCTTGTTAAGAGCATTTCTTATACTTTTGAATTTACACTATTGTTTTGCTTTGTTTTAATCACAGTGTAAAACGCTCTGATTATTTGAACACATTTGAATTCATGGATAAACTTGCTGAAAATCTGAAGACAAAATTATCTTCTCAGCCAAGATTATAAGAGCTGGACTTGAAGTACTTGCTCTGGAAAGACAACTGCCTCATGGATGGATGACAATATATATACATACATAAAAGAAATAAGGGTAGCACTTCAAAAAGTAAGAAATCAACCTAAATGTCGTAATGATCGAACTCTCACCCCCTAGCTTTCCGTAATATTAAGAGTGGGAAAGGCATAGATAACAGCAGAACTGATGTTTCTCTATGGAAAATAGCTTTTTCCAGGTCAGGAATTAGGATAATATTTGTTGAAGAGGAATGAGTTCTAAATTAAGTCATTTTTAAGAATTTTACTTTCTATCCTTTCATTAGATTATATATAGAATGCAAAACATCTTTCTGACAAACCATTTTAATGAAATTAAAAAATATCCAGCTTAGTATGGGTAATGTTATAAGAGGATTTTAATTACTTTTGTTGGGGGAGAAGGGAAAAATGTTTTACAGGAATCTTTACTATGACATAGCCTTGTACACAGTACAGGCAGAAAAAAAATCCTTGAATTTCCTTACATCTGGGAGCTCATTAAAGAGAATGAAAAACTGCTTCCTGCTTGCACATGTAACTTAAGATGGAGCATTACAAACTAACTTGTCACCCAATTTGAATTGGCAGTAACATTGGTTTTTAAAGCAGGAAATAAACACTAATACCCATCCTTGTGTCCTGTGGTCTTTGAACTGTAACTTAAAATCCAGCAACTTGCACATTTATTCTGCCACCTGAAAGGATATAGAATGTTCAGTTTTAAAAGGCTGGACAAGTTTTAACCCAGTGCGTAACAGACTAAGATCTAGCTCTGACATAACAGTACAATAGTACCATCTTGATATGTAAGTATGAGCATCTCTTGTTCCCTAGGAACCTGAACAAAATTGGGAACTGCAGATTACATTCAACTTTTCTATAAGATAGGCATCGCTGTTGGATCTGTGACAGAACTGAAAATTTGATGTACATTTTCAAATTAAAGTGTACACAGCCATCATCACAGAATATCCATTCATGGAGGGCAAAATACCATGGTGGGAACATGCTTTCCAGTTTCCAGGATGCTCAGTTCAAATTTATCTTTTTCTGTCCAACAGTTCCCATTCTCAACCAAGCATAGAATTGGAATATCATCTAATTTTTTAAGATTAGATAGAAATCGTATACGGGCAACACATTGGATTTGCTCCATTTTATCCAGAAAATTTATCATAATGTTGTACATGCCACATCAGAAATAGAAAAGGATTAGGTAAATTATATAAAATGTTTGCATACAAGTATTCAAAATGAACTATTCTATTTTTAATTCCTTGGAACGATTTTCAAAGAATAGTACATTAAACGATTGCGGGGTGGAAGAGGAAACAGTGTTACTGAAATACTTTGCTACGCACCACATGCCCATTTCATTAAAAAAAATTAGGAAATTGAAAGTAATACATTGGGATAATCCCTGCTGCCTGGAATGGGCCAAAAATGGGATGAGTGGAGGCCGAAAATGGGGCACATGGAGATACCAATTGGCGATACCTGCAGCCTGAAAACAGCTGATCATCGGGAGGCCAATTCAACAATCGCCTGCTTGTGCTAATCAGGCTGTGCTGAAGCTGACCAGGCTATTTGCTGTTTGCTGCAAGGAGGCAAATTGCTGGGAGGCAGAGGCAGATAGTTTTCCTCCCCAAAAGCTAGGTGCATCTTATACTCTGAAGTGTCTTATAGTCCAAAAAATATGGTATTTTTAACATATTGAAAAATTGTGTTTACCTGCCCCCACAACAAATTCTGAATAAGTAGATCTAGATTTGAGATGGATGTATTTTAGCATCCCCCCACTGGGAAAATCCTGTTACTATTTTCTGTTAAAAAATGATGACAGTTACTTCAAAAAAATAATAAAGCTGTCTTAATACATTCAAGGTTTTAAAATACAGTAGAAGCTAAACTAAACTATAGTATCCTTTCTTTGAAAATGAAGATGATTCATTTGGATATTAAAAATATCATTTACAATTCTATCGACTGAAGAAGTGAACAATTTTATACCAATTACTGAAACATTATTCCAAAATCTCTGAATATATTAATCTGTTACACAAAAATAGCTCTTCTCCATAATGTATTTTTTCATGGAAATAAGTTGTGATTACATGAAATCTGCTTTCCAACCAAAATGAATCTTGACTGTCTTTTTCCTTTGGATTACTCTACTCCTCTGCTGTTGTATAAAGCTTTAAAGGCACACTTCTATTGCAGTAAATAATAATGATAATAATATAAAAGATATGCAAGGTGATAGAATACCTGATTTTAGTTTTCATGTTATTTTGACATTTTATCAAACTTACATATAGGTCTTCCAATGCATCTTGAAATAGAATAAATCTGATGTAATTCAACAGACCTAGTTTGAGAAACATATTTGTAGAAAAGAATTTTATTTTTAAAATGAAATAACTAAAACTAGGTGAATTTAAAAAGCCATACTTAGGAAACAATTGTGTTACTCTTTGTCTAAAGACTAATCACCAAATCTAAGCTGAATTTCCTTTTTTGATGTTCTTGGTTTTCCTGGACATTTTAGTTCCTTTTGTCAAGTTCTTTTTTGTTTTGTAGATGGGGGAACTGAGGAAGTCAGTCATTGTAAAGGGATCACCACGCCTCAGTTTTCTGCAGGAAAGAAACATATAATTTGTTATAAACACTATACTGACTTCATAGCCAGAAAATAGCACCCAATTTGTATATTCCAACTAAAAAAATTATGTGAAACAAAATGCAAAACTAACCTATTCAGGCTAGGCTCTGCATAGGAAACATCCCTTTTTCTTCGCCGGCTTGGATATATTGGAGAAGTTTCAAGAGGAATGGAATTAGTCAAATCTTTCAGTACTTTGTTCCCTGTGAACAGAATAAGGTAAAATGCTTATGATAAGTCAATACTTCCAGGTGAATTCAATTACTAAACAGTAGTAGATTACAATTAAGTAAAATATTTTTTTTTTCATTTTTAACTATACTACAGCTCTATGCCTGTTAATTGAGAGTAAGTCCCAATAATTTCTGAGTATATGTATCTAAGATTATACGATATTCTATAGCCATGGTCTTTCAAACAGCTTTCAGTAGGTTTGAGTTATTAGTTACCAATAAGGTATTACTAGTTGCTATCCTTCACCTCTTTCCAAGGAGATGAACAGAAGTGCTAGAGCAGTGATGGTGAACCTTTTTGTTATGGTATGCTGAAAGCACGTGCATGCTGGCATCCACAATGCAATGTGCCCCTCCTAAGCATGCACGTGCAACACCCCCTTACCTGCACTGTACATGTGCGCGCCTTCCAGCTGATTTTCGGCCTCCTGGAGGCTCGAGGGAAGCCTCTGCAGCCTCGGGAGGCCGAAAAACAGGCCTTCCGGAAATACCGGAAGTGCCCATTTTCAGCCTCTGGAGGGCCTCTGGAGCCCTGGGGAGGCCATTTTTGTCATCTCAGAGGCTTGACGGAAGCCTCTGGAGCCTTGGGAGGCTGAAAACTGGTATTTCCGAAGGCCTGTTTTTTGGCCTTCTGAGGTTGCAGAGGCTTTTCTTGAGCCTCCAGGAGGAAGAAAACTGCCTCAAACAGGCAGAAAATCAGCTGGAAGGCACATGCATGCGCAGTGCAGGTAAGTTTGGCTGGGGCTCGCGTGCCTGCACAAATGGCTCTGTGTGCTACGGTCCTAGAGTAAAAAATTACTTAAGAAGCCATCAAGTCTAACCCCCTGCAGGATTCACTACACCATCCTTGCAAAATGTTTATCCAGCTTCTTTTTGAAAACCACTCAGAAGGGAAGAAGCCATCTCATGTTGATAACCTATTCTACTAACAGCTCATATTGTAAGAAGTTACATGTAATTCTCAGCTTATAACTACAATTAAGACCAAAATTTTTGTTGTTAAATAAGTCATGCCCAGTTTGTGATCTCCTATGCCACTGATGCTAAGTAAATCAGTGCAGTTGTTAAGTGAATCATCATTAAGCAAGTCTGGTTTCCCCCACTGACTGCTTGCTGGAAGCCAGCTAGAAACATTGCAAATGGTGATTACATGACCTCAGAACACTACAACTGTTGCAAATACATGCTGGTTGTCAAGCATCCAAATTTTAATCATGTTTATTTATTAGGATGCTGCATTGGTTACAAGTGCAAGGACCAGTTGGTCACTTTTTTCAATGCCATTGAAACTTTGAATGGTCACTATGGTGTAAATCAATGAATACCTTATTCCTAATCTCTAATCTGCATCTACAGATTAGAACTTTCATCCCATTAGTTCAACTCTTTACTGTTTGGAGGAAGTGAAAATTAGTCCAAACCTACAATGTGAATATCTAAAGACAGATATCAGGCCCTCTCAACTTTCTCTTCTGCAAGTTAAATATAGTTTGTAGTTAAACATTAACTTTAAATTAATATGAACCTGATTTTCTTATTTAGGATACTGTTCAGGTATGTTCCTTTCTAGCCAACACTCCTCTCAAGCAGATTTACAGTAACCAATTCCTACAGGGCCAACTGTGTGAAACCCGAGTTAACCTGCTCAGATTTTTTAATCATGGTAGAAAGTTCCTATGTAGACAGCCTTTTAACTGCCAGTAATGTTATTTTAGAAATATTTTAATGACAATCTGATTAAAAAAACAAACAAAGTTAAATTAAGAAACAAAGTAAGAATTAAGGTGACAATTCTTAAGTCACTGTATCTTATAGTTTGTAAAGTAAAAGATAAGTGTAGGAATAAAGACCATGTTTACCTTAATTAATTTATTAATTAATTTATACAATTCATGTTTGTTCTGCTATTCTTATAGTAAAAGCTTTTAAGTGTTTTTTTTTTGCTGGAATCCCAAAACTCTCCATTCATGGTAAAGAAATCAAAATTAGGTTTATCCACCATTTATGTTGAAACAATTTGAGTGAATAGAGGCAAGCATCTGTTGTATTACAAATTTCTTACTTTCCAGGATATTCTTTCATTCAATAGTGGACAATTAGAGAAGCACTCTAAATCACGATAAGTGAAAAAATCTTGATCTAAATTGCAGGAGAATAGGGTCATCAGAAATGAAAGCATATTTGATTACACAAAAAGAAAGCCAAAGGCAAAACCAGGTGGAACTCCTTTAAACCATCAATTTCATTTGACTCCAACCTTCTAATACTCACCATTTTGTTGTAGGGCTGCATTTTCTGAACTTGTTTCTGGAATGGCTTGTATCGGCTGCTTCTCTTCTTTTCCAGAAGTTTCAAGTTGCTTAATATTTTTCTTGAAGACAGTTGAGGTTATTGACAAAGCGCAATCTATTTCTGGGCTTTTCTGGATTTCAACATAGCTAGAGATTTTAGAAAGGCCAACTGAAGAAGAATCAGAATTTAAAGGCAAGGTCTTGGTATCCACAATAGGCTTTTGCAAAGTGCTACAGTCTGGAACTTGGAGAAAACTCCATTTTGTCCGAGTGGTTTGAGTGATTTCATATTCCTCTGGATCTTGAAGGAGTGGCTCAGAATCAATACCTTTGTTGCCCAAATCATTTACAACGCATATTTTCTTGCTAAATGTTGTCATTTTTTTCTTTAAGCCAGCCTCATTGCTGTTGGCAGTCCAGTTTGTCTTCTCTGAATGGCTACTTGTTTTAGTTAAAGGGCAACTGTTTAGGGTGCTTGAGGTTTCACAGTTCTTTTTGACTACTTTACTTCCTTCAAAAAAGTTATCTTCATCATCCAAAGAAATTGAAAATACAAATGGTGTACATTTTGATTTACTTCTCTTTTTTTTACTGACTTTTTGAGCTTTTTCTTTCAAATCAAGCACATCTGCATTGGCACTGGAATGTTTTCTCTGTATGATATCCCTATCAAAATTCATTATTTTATCTCTATGTTTTTTCTTTTTAATTTCTGATTGTGGAAGGTCCGAATCTATATTATCTAAACTCTGTTCTTCCATCTCACTTAATCTATGGGATCCATTATTTTCATACACCTTCTTCTTTGATTTACGCTTTACATTTAGGTCTGAAATAGCTTCTTGACTAGGAGCTTGTTTCTGGAAATCAAATGAATGTTCTGTATTCACAATGTTTAATGAATTAGACTCTGGTCTTTGGAATCGTCTTCCTAAACTATCTAAGTTTTCCAAGCCTGTCTTTTCTTTACTATGTTGAAAAGAAGCACAATCATTCCTATCACTGGAAGGCCCTGGATGTAGCACAATGGTTTTTCTATAATTTTTTGTCTTATTAGGGCATTTTATACTAAAACTACAATTTTTCTCATTTTGTTGAATTTCATTGGTTAATGATCTAGACTCTGGACTTTTGGATTGATTTTCCAAATTCTTCATTTTTTCCACGAATATTCCCTTTTCAATTTCTTGTGTTGTGCAATTATTTATACAATTTGGCTCCACCACAAAGGTTCTTCTGTTTCGTGCTGTTTGGCCAAAGTGCTGGGAACTACATTTCTCCTTCCTATCCTGATCTAAATTTTCCACATGACAGGCAGACTTAGGAAGTTTTATCTTACTACTGTTCAGTTCACTGGTTTTTGACACTGCAACATTAATATCCAGTCTTCCATTATTACTATTATTCAAGATAAATTTTGATTGACTGGTAGAAAAAGTTGTGTTCTTTGTTTCAGCATTATCTTCTTCTAGAGTTTTTGTTTCCTTTGCTTTGATCTCTATACAGCTTTCACTTTTGGTACTCGGTGTAATAAGTTCACCAACTTGACTGATTTTAAGATTCTCTTTAATAAGATACTCTGTTTCCTTCGTCCCCTGCAGCTTGTCAATGTCTGAGACTTCTGCCTCTAGGTTGTTTCCAAGTGTAGCAGGAAAGCCTGTTTTTTGTTTTTTTCTCTTAGTCACATGTTCACTCAATATACTATCACTGTATGATCGTGCAGTATCCTTACATTGATGGACAGGATAATTCTTATCCAGGATAGAAAGTGAGCAGCTCCTGGAATTCTGTGGCACATTCCAAAGGTTGTCTAAAATGATAACTATATTTATTAGGCAAAAAAAATTCTTCACACTCCAAAATATGCCATTCAAAAAACTTAAATGAGGTAAAAATACAAAAAGAAATCTTTCTATCTAATAAAAATCATTTTACTTTACTCATTTTTCCAGCAGATATCAGCCAGATACTACTAATAAATTGACTTCCCAGTCCTTTGCTTTGGAGATTATGGAGTAACTTACTATAGATAGTCCTTAGCTTAAAACCATTGGAAGCTGCAATAGTACTAAAAAAGAAATGACTTATGATCAGTCCTTGGATTTACAAGTATCATAGTATCCCTGCATCACATTATCAAAATTTGGATGCTTGGCAACTGGCATGTATTTATGATGGTTGCTGAATCTCAGAATCACATAATTGCCAATTGTGACCTTTCCAGGTAGTTTTCGACAAGCAAAGTCAAGGGGGGAGCTATATTTGCTTAGCAACCCCATGATTCACCTATCAACCATGGTGATTCACTGTCAATTGCGACAAATAAGATTGCAAAATCAGGTGCAACTGACTTAATCAAAATTGCTTAGCAATGGGAGCTCCAGTCCTAATTATAGTCATAAGTTGAGGACTTATCAGTATGCTGGTATATTAGATTTAACTGAAGCTAAACAATGCTTCTAAATTCCATTTTAAAGAGCAAGGTATAGATAATAATGAATACAACACATTTGTAGAAAGAAGGAAGAGGTACGCATCAGCTACAATCTAACTTCAGGACATTAGCAGAACATGCATTTTGGGATTTAGTTCTATGTAAATAGAGAATATGTAATTACATAGAAATAAATCCCAAAGAACAAATAAGCTAATATAAAAGTGCTGCTCAGAACATAATTTCACAATTCAATATTCATTTGAATCATACAAAGTTATCTATGGTATAGTACAAGATAAAATTGTTCCAGAACATACCTCCAAAAATTGTGCTTGAATTCAATGCCGAAATAGAGTCATCCATTCCATGTAATCCTGGATCACTATTTACACAGTTTGCCAATAATTTATCAGTGAGAGAAGAGAATGACTTCTTTACCTCATGGAAAGGCATACTTCTCCAAGTCTCACCAAAAGCAGATTCCAATGGATCTAAAGGGAATTTCTCGAGACTGGTGGATTTCTTTCTGTCATTTCCATCATCATCCACGTGAGACAGTGGAATTCTCATAAATTTTGATGCCACTCTGGAAAGTTAAAAGAAAAAAGTATGACAAAGTTAGGTTAATTTTATATTTGTTAAATAATGCTAATGACAATGATACCACTTTATTTTAGAAAGAAAGTAGGATCATCAACTATTTAACATCCCATGAATATGATATACTTATCTTTTTTTTCAATAAAGACAATACAACTTGCTTTTGTGCATACCTAGGACAGTTGCTTTCTTCCTGACTGCGAGAAATATCATGAGTATCATTGTGCCCTCTTTCATCCAGCAATGAAGAATAGGAATTGTTCTATATGGGAGAAAAGACCATGTAAGATTTAACTCTTAAATTTTGTGCAACAAATGTGAGAGTTTAGCCTAGTTCATATATATTGCTAAGTTCTAACATGCTTTGTTAAGCACAACATATATGAACTTACCCACTACAGATGACTATTATGTGTAAATTGAATTACTGTAGCTTTTTCAAATCCTGGCATAATATTAAGTATGAATCTGTATATTTTAGAATGATGCTTAAATGTTCATAGAACCCTATTGCTGCCTCATTGCGGCAGGGAGATGTTCTTGGGAAGGATGAGCAGGAATGCCAGTAGTATATTACAACAATATATAATTTAAATAATGTCACCTAAAGCAAGTAGATACCTATATAGCAGCAACAGTGTAGAAAGATCTGTGAGATGGACGATTGTTTTTGTGACTACGGGAAAGGAATAATTCCATACTCAATAGAAGGCAATGGTAAATGACTTCTGTATTTGACCAGCAAATAGATAAGATAAAGTGATAGATAGCAATAGCACCTAGACTTATATACCACTTTAAGTTAGTTAAGTTAGCAACATGGCTGTTAAGTGAATCTGACTTCCCCATTGACTTTGCTTGTTAGAAGGTCACTAAAAGTAATCATATGACTCGGGACACTGCAACCATCATAAATGAGTCTGTTGCCAAGCATCTGTATTTGATGACATGACCATGGAATCCTACAATGGATGTAAATGTGCAAAATAGTCATGTCACATTTTCCAATGCTGTTGTAACTTTGAACAGTCACTAAATGAACTGTTATTGTAAGTTGAGGATTTATGAATTGATTAAAGCTTATAGGACATCTGATTGCTGATATTGCCTTGAAAGAAAAGATAGTCTAAGGCTACAAAGACAGAATTACAGTGGGAACATTGAATGTAAGATACATGACCTTAAAAAAAATCAACACAATGAAAGATTAAAGAAATCAACCCCTTGGGCATCAGCAAATTGAAATGGATTCGAATCTGTTTACTACTCTTATCTGAGTAGTAAAAACAAAGAAGGAACAGCATTGCTCTCATGGTCAGGAAAGATACTGGAAGGACAGTATGTAGGTACAATGTAATTAATGATTGAATAATATGAATTGGACTTCACAGACAATCCTTTATTATTATAATTATCAACCACTAATACAAAAAAAACATTGACAAGTTTTATGGTCAAGTTTAATCTGAAAGCAAGAGAACATGTAGACAGGATGTTCTGTTTGTGGTTAGAGAGTGGAATGCCCAAACTGGAAATAATGAGGAAAATATAGTTGGACTGAATGGCCTAGGAAGCAGAAATGAAGCAGAAGGACTTATCCATTTCAGCCAATCCAATGAAAGTCTTGGAAAAGTTATTTCATTAAAATCATTCAGGCAAGTTTTCGTGAAACTTGGATTTTGAAGAATCAAGAGAAAAGGAGTATTGACGTTCTTCAACTTTGGTGCTGAAGAAGACTAAACTCTGGATCTTGAGAACACTTTAGTTAGTAAACCAATCCAGAGCTCTCACATGAGACACAAATGAGCAAGCTCAAATTATCATATTTTGGACAAATTGTGCAAAGATCTTGGGAAATCTTTCTAAATAAATAAATCTTTAAATTTGGAAAAGATGAAAAGAAAGGACAAAGTCCAGTAACAAGGTGGAAGGACTTGATTACAGCAACAATAGTTACACTACTGGGAGACCTGAACGGTCAGTCTAGGAAGAAATCATCCTGTCTATGTGGCTGCTAAAGAATTAACACTGACTTATTGGCATATAATCAGATTAAATGATGTTTACAAACCAAAGAAATGTATTCTGAAAATATTGTCTGTTTGTTCACCTCAGAAAATCTGGTCAGCTTGATTGCAGTTTGAAAGCCGCTGTTCATAAAGAGCTGCAGTTCATCAATATATTTTTTCTGCACACGACAAACAAATCTTTTTAGACCTTTTTAGTTTTAATTTATTGTAATAATACTCAGAATAAAATTTTGGGCTGTTGGATCAATTCAGTGCCCACCAGTTCAGCAGTTAAAATAATGTTATTCATTATATCCTTTCAAAATATTGCAGTTATTAGAAAGAATCCATTACCTCTCAAATAGATTGTTTTATAATTTTTATAATGACACAAATTTCATTAGAAATCTGGAGAAATCATATGAATATGAACAATAATGTACTTAGTCACGAGGCCATATCAAAACACAATAAGCTAACGTGAAAGGCAAAACTAGAAGAAAATGCTTTATGTATTTATTATCCCAATAGCTTTTTCCAAGCCAATCCATATATGCAGTTCTCATATTGTTTTATTCAAATAAAGACTTATTAATATTTGGGTTCTAACTACATTTACATTTATTCTAATGTATAGATCCTAATGAATCATTCATTCAATATGCTGTAGATATTGATCTCTCACTTTGCTATATAGTACAGCTGGCATTCAGTAACATGCAGTACGTTACATGTCCTCAATCTGAGGAGCATCATAAATACAAGGACATTCATGAACTTGGTTAAACCCTCCATATTTAATCTTTCTACCTAAATGTTCAAATCACACTCAAGTAAATACCTCATGAGGTAACTGAACATTTTGTATTTAGGTATTTTTAAATTTGAAAGATGCGTTTATAAAGGTACACCCATTTCAGTTTGCCAGCCGCATAAAGCTGTACCTTTTTGAGCTTATATGTCTAACAAGATTATTTGAATGGCAATGATTTTAACTTGTTCTCCAGATATGGTTGAACATAATTTGTAAATTGTATAATCTAAGAGCTCTGTAACTGAGATTTAATCTGATCTATCAGACAAAATTTGGGAGTCTCATCAGTTTCTGTAAAATTAACTCGCCAGCAACAGTTATATGCCTTAATAATAGAGTATTGTACATGGATAGTCCTCAACTTATAATCGATCGCTTAGTGACTTTTTGAATTTATGATGACCCAAAAAAGGGGATTTATGACCTGGATTTAAAGTTCTGATGATTGGGTCCCCTTAGCAGTCATGTGACCAAACTTTGGGTGCTTGGCAACATCGCTGCATTTACAGCAAAACTGTGCCCATAGAAACTACAGGTTCATTTTAGGACCGCAGAGATCACTTAATAACTGCTACAAAAAAGGTCATAAAATCCTTTTGGAAAAAAAATCATAAAACAGTTTTACAACCCTAATGGGCAGTCTCCATTATGATTGTATGTCGAGGACTACCTCTGTATATTCCCAATTTGACTGTAGTTGCAGCAACTGGATTTCATGCAACAGTTAGAAAAGGTATTTCTGAATTTGTACTGTAATTTGACATAACAAAGATCGTGACTGTAAAAAAAAATAAGTTCGGAATTAAATTACCAAGGTTTTTTTTTAACCTAGATTTTAGCAATCTACATCAGGGGTCACCAACCCCTGGGCTACAGTCCACTACCAGGCCATGCAAGCAGCAGGTGAGGGAACACGCAGTTCTTGTGAGGGAGCAGTGGGTTCTTGTGTGAGCACTTGCATCATATGTGTAGCTCCACTTGTAAATAGAGCTTACAAATGGAGCTGTGTATGCAAGCACACATGCCTGCCATTCGCATAGAACCATTCCCTTTCCCCGCCCCTTGCCAAGCCAGAAAGGTTGGAGAACACTGATCTACACCATTCTGTGGTAACAACAATATTTTTAATAGTGCATTTACCCGAAAAATACATTATCTTAATATTTTCTCTAGTTTTTTACTCAGTGGGGTTGTGAGAATGCAAATAATCTAGACTAGATTTAGAATTTCAAAATCCCCTTCTAAATTGTGCAAATTTTACACAAAAAAGGATTCCAGTTCCTCCAGAAGCACAGAATTTTGCTAATATCCTACCACAGAGGAGAGCTTTTGGCGCAAGCAAGCATTTTCAAAGTGACCCAACTCTACTTCTTTCTGCAGCCACATCTTTTCATCAGTAAGTTTCTGAGCAGTTATCTTGGCAGCATTGAGGGCCAGAGCCAATGCTTTGTTGTTCTGTTTCAGGGAGACCTTAATTATAGAGGAATTATCTATACAGAAAAAAAGGGGGAAACAAAAATTAGGGGATTTTTTTATCTTTGCCACATTTGATCCCCAATTTTAAGTTAGGCAGCTCTGAAATTTGTTTCTTTGGGAGAAGTTCCCCAACAACTTTCCTCATCTTAAGTAGTAAATGCTTTGAATGAGAAACTGCTGGTGACCTTCTACCGCTGCACCATAGAGAGCATTTTAACATACTGCACCTCTGTATGGTTTGCCAATTGCACAGTGGCAGATAGGAAAGCACTCCAGAGGGTTAACGTCATTGCCCAGAAGATCATTGGTTGCCCTCTCCCCTCTTTGGAAAAGCTTTATAGCTCCCTCTGCTTTAAGAAAGTTCAAAACATTCTCAAAGATCCATCTCATCCTGGGAACTCTTTTTTTGAACTATTACCATCTGGCAGGTGGTACAAAATAATAAAAACAAGGACAAATAGACTGAAAAACAGCTTCTATCCCAGGGCTTTGAATTCTGCTGTATAGTGCAGTGTTGGTGTGGTGTGTCAGGGGTTTCCAGTTCAATGTATGAAGGGTGAAGGACGTGTGTTTGTGTTTATTTTCATGGTCATGGTCATGATGTGCACTGAAGATGGTGTTTGATTTCATTGTATGAGGTGCAGTGACAATAAAGTAAACTAAACTTTGGGTTGCCAGCTTTTCCTATCAGTGAGTGAGTTTTCCTTTTGTTCACTTTGTGGTTGCTTCAGATATAATTAAATACTCTCTAGTATTCTTTCAAGCCAAGTTCCCAAAAGGTATTCACTCTACAAAACTCTTACAGGACCTTGATCAGTTATAGCTGTTGAACAGAATTTGTGATAAGCATGACTTAGGTGGAAGTAATATTTGATATCCCAGACATGCATTTTAGTCTCTTTGAGCATGTGTCAAGTCAGTCACATATAGTCATACAAAAAGATTCAGTTTATACTAAGAACCAAAATAGAATATTTAAACCTATGTGGGGTAGCCTGTGCACCATTGTCCTTCCCCAATATTCCTAGACATACTTGCTTCTGCAGCATTTCTCTTGCAGAGAGGGTGCTGTTCAAGATCAAGCAACCAAATCCGTTTCAGGCCTCAACACTCAAAATGAGAAGGTGAAGAACCCAAGAAGCAAAATACCATGTCTCTAATGGATTATTTAATTCACTTTCACTTGAAAATGGCAAAAACTGTCACTTTTCTCCTATCATGACTTGCAGCATTCACAACTCTTCATTAATGCTACTTACTAATTGTTCTTGTTCTAATCTTTGATGCAAGGGAAGCATTCATCTTTGCTGTTTTTAATACTCCATTTTTCTTTTCTTTCATCCGTTCCCTGACTCCATTTTTAAAGAACATGGAGGATGTTTCTGTGCACTCCTGGAACATTTTTTCCAACAGTCCTGCCAAGCATATAGAGAAACAGAAATATCAGACAGCATCTTCTTTTTCTAGTATACAATCCAGTGGTGGTATTCGACCGGTTTGGCCTGGTTCTGGCGAGCCGGTAGGAGTGATGAGCAGTGGAGACCTAACCGTTTCTCTCCACCGCTCTGCTGTTGGGCCCACCCGCTTGCCCGGGCTCCCATACTCACTTTTATCTGCTGAATTTGAAGCGCAGCTGCTTTGCGCAGCACAGAAGAGTGCCACGCGGCAGCTGCTGAAGCGACTGGGAGAGCGCAGGCTTGCAGGAGGCGAGTAACAATGCCTCTGCACCTGTGCAAAGTGTGCGTTTGGCATGCACGTGCATGCAAAGTGTGCATGCATGCAAATTGCGCCCACCAAGCCACGCCCACTGAACCGGTGGCAACAATATTTGAATCCCACCACTGCTACAATCATTATTTCATTTTGATCTTTTTATTTTGTTTCTTTAGAGTTTAGGTGTAACTCTAAAGCAAGAACAAGTGAGTCATACATATCCACTCAGAGTTAGACCTTTCACTTGCAATTTTTACCTTTATTTTTTTTACTGATTTTATTGTACTTTCTATGTTTGATTGTTATGAGCTACCCAGAGTTGTTGGGAATCAGGTGCCAAACACATTTAATAAATTATGGTGATTATTTCACATCCAGGTCATTCCGTAGCCATAATAAAAAGTTTGAGAACAAAAGTATCATGATGTATTCAAAGTAAGTTAAATCCAGAAAGTTGGTCAAAGTAGAGTTATACACCAAGATATCCCACTCTAATTCATAAAATATACTCAGACATCTGATTTAATAGCTTCTCATAGTTCTTAGCGTGCTGCTAGTTGAATATATGTGTGAGCACATGTGACTACCTAAGATCATGTTAACAAAAAGGAGAGAAAATTGTTTGTGAAGTTAAATTCCCGTGTATTGATTTTAGAGGGAATATTACACATCAGAGAGCATTCCTTTGGTCTTGAAATCTATATCTCCAATCATACTACAGATGTATTCACATACAAGAGTAAAGTTCTTTCGCTTTATTCAACCAAAGACCTGCTAATAAGCACTGCCCCAAAGCTCCTATCTGGCTTTTCTGAGAAGTGTAAATACCTTAATAATAAGGAATGCACCAGATTGGTAAGGATCTCATTTGAACTCAGATTCTGTCAAGCCACAAGCTATATAATTCTTTTCCACTTCATAGTTGGCCTTACAGAAAGACATACAAGCTTTAAGCGAGTAGGGACCCTGATCCAAGTAGTTCCACCTTATATGGTAAAGACCTCCCTAAATGAATGCATGTGCATCACCCACAGATCCTGCACACTGCCCCAAGTTCTTGATCTGGTGATAGGTAATATAACCCCATAACACTCTCACATAAAAAGTCTGCAGGAAAGTTAGTAATATAGTTGAAAGGCCTTCCAAAACATAGGTTGAACAGAATTTCAACCTAATATGGA